TCGAGACATGACTGGTAGTGAAACTTGCAAGTTTGATCTTGAACACAATCAGAGACACAATAACCGCAATCGCCAACCTAATTAAGTCGGCCAAGAAGGTTCTCAACCTAGACTACCCAGCTGAGGGAAAATTGTCGAAAAAAGAAGACAAGTCCTTCACCACGATCACGACAACTATTACAGCTCGGACACCCAGACTGCCGAGCTGGGAGGCAACTGTTATGGACTTGATCTAAAGGACCATGTTCTAGAAGGCTCAATAAGTGCTAGAACCTAAGAAAAAAATTAAGAAAATATTTCTTAATTATATTAATCCTAGTGCGATAGCAATGGATCAAGAACTGAACCCTCAATATTTCTAAGAGGCCCAAAAATCCACTCTTGCCAGGTAACCTATCTATAAATAAAACGTTAAACCAGCCAAGTCAACACACTCTAAATCCTCTTTCTATTGGCTATCATTGTGCATAAACCCCACCCTTTGGCTATACCGTTAATATTATAGTGTTTAGTGATTCGCTATTCTCTAAGGTACCTCCCCTATAGGTACCCGAGAGAGGGCATCTAGATCCTATATAAATATACCAATCTATGATTGAACATTTCTATCTCAAGAACAGAACATCTACCTTTCACTAAAAAATTAAAAGAAAACAAAAATCAAGGTGAGAAAAAATTTAAAAAGTTACAAATGAAAGGAAATCTCTCCGACCAAAACCCTTAGATGAGTCACCTTGTGATTATTCTAAAGTATGGCTGAAAAAGGGAATGTGTGAGGACATAGTGGCTCCATATTTGGCAGAATAACAACTCATAAAAAATAATGAATGCAAGATGCTTCTTTAATGGGTTAAGAGGTGTATATATAGGTTGAAAATATTATCTAATGTCTAATGACAAGAGAGAGATAAAGAAGTTATAACCGTTTGCACAATTTCTCATTGTTATAATGAGCTAGCGCACCACTACATATTTGTAATGAGCTATACAGGAGAGTGAGAGATTTTCTACAATGAGGTCAATGATTTTTACTATAGGAAGATAGGGGAATGTTCCCTTAAGTGAGTCTCTAAGGGTGTGTTTGAGAGTTTGGAGAGAAAGAGAAGAAAGGAAAAAAAAAAGGGAGTGAGGGGAAAGAAAGGAAGGAAAATGAAGGATTTTCTAAGAGGAAAATGAGGGGGAAAAATAGGAGTGAGAGTTAAACATATAATATGGGCGAAAAATGAAGAGTTAATAAGATATTTTTATAATTTTATCCTTTCTTAAAAAAATAATATAATATTTATATTTTAAAAATTAAATTAAATTTAAAATTTCTAAAAAAATTATTTATGTAATTTTCACATTTAGAAAATAATTTTTCCTCTAAAATATTATTTTCTCTGTCTAAAAAGTATTTTTTTCTCTCTCTAAAATTGTCTATTTCACATTAGAACTAAATTAAAATTATTAAAATAAATTAAAAATCGCACACACATATATATATATATATATAAGTAAATCACTTATCTCAAGATAATGCAATTGAAAACAAAAAAAATCCCTATTTCCTTCTCAAATCCTCCAAATTGAAGGAATTCTGATTTCAAGAGTGAGAAAGTATTCAAAAGGTTTTACAAAACTTTCTTAATTTCTTCTCCCATTTTTTAAAACTTACATACAAGAGAAAGACATAAGCAAAATATTCTTTTTCTTTTTTTTCTCTTAATACTGACTCTCAATCGCACCATAAGGGTCAACCTATATCTTTGGGCTGTGAAGCCGGTCCAAAAAACAATATATTTAGAGTTATTGAGATTTAATAGGGGTCTCTTACCTCATAAAAAATTTTAGTTAAATTTTTTATTTTGGCAAATTGGGTAATATTATACTTGCCAGTTACACTTATTTTGACACACCAACACAGTTAACGTTAATAATATTAAAAGGCATCAATAAAGAAAAGAATGTTCTAACAGATCAGCATAGTCGAAGATATGAAATTCAATTATGTCGATTGTGAAGACTGATGAATACCGGCCTCGAGAAATGACGTCTATGCCACATAATTCATTAGTTTTACCATTACTATTTCACGTGTTAATAAATATATATATATTTTTTTTTTTTGATAACATATAAATATATATATTTAAGTCTATAAAGTCATTTTTTTTCTTTTTCTTTTTTTCACATTATATATGAGTTTCACATTCTTTTATGTGCACATAAAAAATAAAATTATCTTCTACCATATGAAAAATATTAAATCTTAATTTTATTTAGAAGAGCGTATTCTTACAACCTAAAAAGTTTACAATCTATTTTTTATCGTTGATTTCCGTTAATCAAATAATTATGATTTATCGGGTCACATTTATTATTAATTTTTAATTTTTAATAAATTATAACTGTTGAATTGACGAAAATCAAGATGAAAAAATAAATTATAAGAAACTGTTAAATTTTTAGGTTATAAGAATAATGCACTTTTAAATTATAAGAATAACGCGACTCTTTTATTTATATGAAAAAGTATTCTACCCAATTATCGACACTAAGGCTATGATTTTGGGATATATATATATATATATATATATATATATATATATATATATATATATATATATATAAAAATAAAGGAAGATGGATCATGCGAAGAGAGAGAATACTAAATCATAATCGTACAAAGATGGATTAATGGTAATAAAGAAAGAGAGAAAAAATGGGAATAATAATCATTCAAAGGTGAATCAATTGATATAAAGAAATAAATAAATAAAACGACGTAGTGTTGGAGTGGCCGGAGATAAACTTATCTCAAGCTGCTTGAGAAATATTTTTCCCATATATATATACACGAGAGAGATCATTTGACTCCAGAATAAGACTTATAAGTCTTACTCCTCATCTTAGCCCTTGATTTCCGTCAATTCAACGGTTATAGTTTAGAAAGTTATATTAATTAATTAATTAATAATTATATTATAAGTGACAACTATTAATTTTCGTCTATCAACAACTAAGATAAGACGGAAGAGTGACCAAAATGTCACTGTTCACCAAGTTTTTTACCTAAATGACACACGAATAGTGTTATTTTCCAATATGCCACATGGGCAAGTTCGCTGGGCACTGTAGTGAACTCAGTGCTGACGTGTCGCGTTTTAAGTGGACACCAAGTTCGCTACCCAATGTAGCGAACTTGGTACTATTTTTTTTTAACTTGGTACTTGTTATCCATTAGAAACGTGACACGTCAGCAAACGGAGTTCGTTATAGTGCCCAACGAACATGCCCACGTGACATATTGGTAAATAACATTGTTCGCGTGACACTTAGATAAAAAACTTGGTAAAAAATGACATTTTAGTCTGTGTTGCAGATAAGAAAAAGCAATTTTATATGGGCCTACCTACGTTTATACGTGGTAAAGATATCCTCATTTGTGATTCAAAACTAAACGTGAAATCGAATATAAAATGACCTTTTCCCCCCACTTTGATTTGTGGCTAAGGCTAAACACATCGATACGGACAAGTTGACACCTAATCTCTCCCGTAATGATCAATTATGTTATGATGATGCGATACCACTTACGATCTAAGAGCCACCTGTGAGGGATTAAAATTGCCCAAGATTAATCAGGTTGTTCAATGAGTATGAAATCACGTAACGCCAAGAAATAAATGAAAATCACTAAAAAAAAAAAAAGTAGCTTTAATTTGCATAAAATAAAAAGGGCTAAAAACAAAAAACGGCTAATATGGAACTTACAAATGTTATACAAATACTGGATTTGAGGTAACTACATAAAACTAAATTTAATGCTTTTCTTATGGAGATTTTACTAAGCTAATTTATTTGGATGTAAACATTTTTTTTTTTTTTTTGTAATGGGGAGGGGCATAGTCAAGGAAGCACGGACACTTGTAAAAACAAGGAGTCATGTCTGACACGCTCCGACACGCTCCGACACGGTGTCGGACACGCGGTCAACTTTTTCCGACACGTTGACCATTCCGACACGCGAATTTGACCGTGTCTGACACGGTCAAATGGCATTTTCGTAATTTTTTTTAAATAAAATTAATTTTTTTAAAAATTAAAATATATTAATAAAGCTTCCACCTGATCATATCAATTTTATTTTTTTGTCTTTTTTTTCCTTAAGTAGATAAGAGATCATTTCAGCATCATTGTTGTCAATTCCTATCACGCTCTTATTGTATCTTCTTCTCTCTGATCTCTCTAATATGATTTGATCTCTCTATATGATATTATATCTCTTTCTTATCCCAGTTCTTAGTTTTTTTATTAAAGCTTCCATCTTTATAACGTGTTGATGGGTATTATTAATTCAGTTTCATTTTTTTGTTAAATTATTAAATATTAAATGAAATATACACTATATAAATTAAAATATTATTTAATATTAAAACGTGTCTCAACGTGTCGAAATTCATAATTTTTTAAGATTGACGTGTGGGAGTGTCGTGTCGTGTCATGTGTCGCGTGTCATATCGGTGCTACATAGGGCATAGTCACAAATTTGGATGGAAACATTAACATCTATCATTGATTAATTTAAGAAAATGTTGACTATTAATTAATAATTGTTGCATCTAACTATTAGATGTAAATGAAATAAATGATTAAAATTAATTATAAACCTTATTATTTTTATACACATCTAAATTGACCCGAGCCAAAAATGGTAAAGAATTTACATTTAAGAATCAAAATGTAAAACAGAAAGAAAGAGAGAAGAGGGAGAAGAATATAAATATATATATTTTGGATTGATGACGTAACATAATACAAATTACGCAAATTCCTCGCGATTAAACCAATCATATTAGCTCGAAGAATATAAATCTAGGTGCAAACAATGCAACTGTTTCTCTTTTTAACTTGGACCCATACATTTAATATGTGAAAGAATTATAAGTACTTCCAATCTCAACCCACCACTCTTTCAAACTACACACCCCAATTTTCAATTCATTCCATCACAATAATTTCTCCCCTCCTTCCAACCGCCATTGGACATGGAAGAAGTTGTCCTTACAGACAGTGAAGTTCAACCAACCTCCTCCTCCTCTTTCACCATTATTGCCTCCACCGCCTCCTCTTCTTCCTTTTCCTCTTCCTCTTCCTCCTCCACAGAAGAAGCCACTAATACCACCCACAAGAAAACTCATCAAGGCGAAGAATTAGGTAGTGATGGAAACAACAACGAGAAGAAAAAGAAGAAGAAGAAGAGAGGCATTGATGGGAAGCACCCAACATATAGAGGAGTACGTATGCGTCATTGGGGCAAATGGGTATCCGAAATCAGAGAGCCAAGGAAGAAATCAAGAATTTGGCTTGGCACTTTTCCCACCCCTGAGATGGCGGCTCGAGCGCATGACGTGGCGGCTCTCACTATCAAAGGTAGCTCGGCTTACCTCAATTTCCCCGAACTAGCAGCCGAGCTCCCACGCCCAACCACTACATCCCCTAAGGACATCCAAGCCGCTGCCGCTAAAGCCGCTGCCATAAACTACCACCATCGAAGCCATGAAGCCGAATCCGAGCTGATCCAAGCCGTTTCCTTCTCGAGTCACACCCAAGGATCATCCAGTTCATCGTTGAAGGGTGAGGATGACACATTCTTTGACCTTCCTGATCTTTCACTCGAGTTGAATCATAGTGCTGATGAGTTTCATTACTCTTCGGCTTGGCTTATAGCCGGAGCCGAACATATAGACTCATGTTTCCGGCTTGAAGAGCCTTTTCTTTGGGAGTCATATTAAGTTACCTTACTTAGTGTACAGTCTATGATTGTGCTCTCTCTCTGTTTCTTTTTCTCTTTTTCTTTATGTTCCTTTCACTTTTGGCTACTCTAGCTGCTACTAGGTCCTTAAAGCCTTATAGCATCTACCATGGTCCATTGCAGCATGACATGGGTCATGGGGTGCCAATCGAGTGTCCATGGACAAATAATCAAAGTTTACTAAATAAGTTGCATCACTTCGCTCTTTCACTATATCCACTACAAATGGTGAGTTTGTTATGCAAGAATTTTATGTAAATATTAAGGGAAAACATTTTCTCCTTTTAAAGGAGAAAATTTTTCTCCTACCAAAAACACATAGTATAAGTGGGGCCTACAAAATAGTGGAGAGAAAAAAAAATTCAAAGTGAGACCCACTTATGCTATGAGTCTTTTGGTAAGAGAAAAATTTTCTCCTTTAAAAGGAGAAAATGTTTTCTCAAATATCAAACCCAAAAAAATAAAATTGCATCTATCATGTGCCCTGCATCATCTTCCAATGTTTTTTCAAAATTTCTGCACCTTTCTTTCTTTTTAAATACAATGATAAAAGTTTGAATTTATAATAGAAATAGAATATTATGCCTATATTTTTTCTTGTTTACTCTATTTACTTTTCTCAAATACCATTAGATCAAAATATCAAGAGAACAGAAAAAAAATAAAAATTAGTTGAAATTATGATCTAACAGTATTGGAAAAAAATAGATAGAGTAGACATGAAAAAAAATTGACATAAGATCTTATCCCTTTATATTATTATCTCAAGTAAATTATCTACATTTTTTTATATATACATTAGTGAGAATTGAACACACAACCTAATATAAACTACTCAAATCTCTCACCATTAGACCAGTCCTAATGACTTTAGTTATCTAAATCTCTTATCCAATTCTAATAATTTGTTTTTTTTTCACCCTTTTTGTCATGTGTATATCCTCCCTTGTTTGCCAGAATTCATTTTATTAATTTATGGGTGAGTGTGGAATAAAATTGAGCTGGGTACTTCTTTTTCATTTTAATTATTAATTTAGTTTTGATGACTGCATTTTGTCCGTTTCATGTCCTAATTTTGTTAGCAGTTATTTTAAATTTTATGTTTATTAGATTTTTGTATTTGATTTTTAATTGGGATTAATGTTTATAATGTTATAGGACATAATTTTATCTCTTACATACACATAAAAATATATGGGATCCATGTGAGGGAATATGAATAAAAAAAAGAAAAAAAATATAAATTTCATATCTTTTATGTATATATAAAAGATAAAATTATCTCTTACAACATAAAAAAAAAATATTAATACTCACCTGCTTTCTAATTAATCTAGAAAAGCACTTGACCTATGACTCCAAGTAGAGACACATCATAAGGTGATGATATGATAGCATGACTACTTGCCACTTAAACCTAACCTTTTTCTTTTGTCTGCGTTTGCTTATATATAAACCAAAGTTGATGTTGCACATGAAGGAGCAAGGTATTGCGGAATATCTTTTTCTTCTTGCCAGAATAAAGATTCCACTGATACAAATCACGTTGATAATACTTTTATAACGCCCACAAAAAGCATATAAATGCTTTCTTGCAAAATGGGTAACATCGACGAGTTATGCTCTACCATCTGAATCAAATATATATGCATTTTTCTTTCAAGTACTAATTACTGAAATTAGTTGATTTAATAATAGTAAAGAACAAAATTTATAAATATGTTATCTGTGTAATGGATAGAAAGTTCTATAAAAAAAAAAATAAAAATAAAAAAAATTAGCTTTAAAATTTAATTAAAAAATTATATATAAATAAGTATGATATTTTTAAAAATTGGAAAAATTAAGATTTTTTTATAAATATCAATTGAGGATAAAATTCAATTAAAAACTTAAAGTTACAAATTAATATTGGAAAATATTTTTCTTATGTTGTTAGAGATGAGTTATCTAATGTTAGTGAAATAAAATTATAAGAGGGATCCACAAATAATTGGAGAGGAAAAAATAGAGGTGGGACCCACCTTTGTTATATGTATGTAGAAATTTGATTTATCTCATATTGAATGAGATAAATATAACCCATTAATATTAAGGTGTTGGTGGTTTCATTTCGGTGAAAATTATATAATGCACTTATAGTTGATTGATTGCATATGGCTCAATCATTAATTTAAGATTGGAGCAAATCGGAATTAATCAAGCATGGGTTGCATATTCAAAGAATCAACAATTTAAAATAAAATTTTTATACGTCCAAATCCAAATCCAAATCAACAATTATGGCTCAATTGTTGATTCAAGAAGTTTGGAATCAACAAGAATTATGCCTCATCAAACATGACTTGCAAGTTTGAAGAATCAACAATTTAAAATCTAATATATTACGATCAAATCTAAATCCAAATGAAACAGCAGATATGATTATGATTTATATGGTAAAAAAAAAGAAGCAACAAATTTGTTGTGATTTAAAATCTAATATTTGGGGTATATTTTGAATATTTTAATTATAATTATTTATTTATTTTTAAGAGATAGTTATCATTATATTTATTTTTAGGATTTTGAATTTTGAATTCATTTATATTTAGTTTATGGGCAAATGATTTCTCCGGTCACCGGAGATAAAGTTATCTATAATATGCTCAAAATGACGTTGTTTTGAGACAGAAATCAAGATATTTTTATAATTATAATATATTACAGGGTTATATTAGTTTTTGTCATTATAAATTTTTAATCTTATAACCAAAATGTCGTCATTTTGAGCTCACCGGATATAATTTCATCTTCGGTGAGTGAAGAAATATTTTTCCCTTTATAGAAGGGTACTTAAGATACTTATTGTAGAATTGGATATTTTATTATTTGGATAATTATAATTACAAATAAAGAATTTCTCTTTTATCAATTTCAACTTTATGTTTAAATACTTTTTTTATATGTTTTCAACATTATTACATATCTTCTTTTTATCTCGATTTCAAGGAATATCAAATTTGACATCATTCACTTACTTATAAATATATTTATTAGAGTACAAAAGAATTACAAGGAGTAGGAATTTCTCGCAATGCGTGAAGAGACACTTTTTTGTTCCATTCTTCGTCCAACTATTCATTTTTTGTCATTTTTTACAATTAAATAAATAGGAACTAGATTAGCAATCATTATTGTACGAATTATAAAATAAAATAAAAAATTAATATTGTATTAAAAAATTATTTATATAGTTTTTTAATGGATATAATTTCATTAGTAGTTTATGATTACAAGAAAATAGTTGGAATGAAAAAAATCAACTTTCAAGTTCTAATACCCATGCAAACTATGAGATTACCTCTCAGGCAATAAACATATTTATTTTTCATCACAACAGAGTGAGAAAGAAATTCTTAATTATACATCACAACATTCAAATCAATTTTAATATCACTATCTTATTAGAGTGAGAATATTCTAACTACCAAAAATTCTCATTATTAACTTACTACCTATCACATCTTCATTGGATCAAAGAGAGAAAATATTAAAAAAAATTTAAAGAGAAAAAAAATATTAATCTAATAATGATTAAATAAATAGTAAGTTAGTAATGAACAATTTTAGTAACTAGAATATTTCTCTTCATCTTATTATGACAGATATTATTTTATTTAAGCACAACAACGATGGCAGCAGGGAGGGTTTTGGCATTTCTTGAAGGTGGCCCGAATAAAAAAAAGGTCGTGATGACACGTGTACATTGTTGACTCATGTGTCTGACTTAGGGCTGTGCATGGGTCAGGTCGGGTCAGGTTTTTGTCCGACTCGACCCAACTTGGTTTTTATAGGTCAGGTATTTTGACCCGACCCGCTTTAATTTGATCAAAGTCAGGTCTGACTTGGATTGGATTTTGTTCAACTAGTTCAGAACCAGTTTGGATCTGACCTGACTTGGTTTCTGAGGTGGGTCTGACTTGGTTTCTGAATTGGGTCAAATCTAACCTGACCCGTTTTTGACTTGGTTTTCTCACAAAATTTTGTCGAAATTTTTACGTTGCAAAAGACGAAAATTTCGTCACAAAATTATTTTTTCATCGAAATTTTTACAAAAAAAAATTTTCTATTGAAATTTAGTTTCCATCAACAGTTTTGACGAAAATGATTTCTCCCATCAAATGTTTTAAACGAAAACAGAATTTTGTCAAAAAATTTGACGAAATGTTTTTCGTTCAAAATTTCGATGGGAATGTGTTCTCACGAAAATTTTGACGGAAATTATTTCGAGGGAAATGTTTCATTTGAAACTTTCGACGAAATTTATATTCGCTAAAGAACTTTGACAGGATTTTTTTTCGTCAAAATGTTTTTTTTGTCAAAAAAATTTACGAATTTTTTTTATAAAAATGTGTTTCGTTGAAAATTTTGATGGAAATGTGTTTCACTAAAAATTTCGACGAAAATTTTTTCGTTGAAAACTTTCGCCGAAATTTGAAATCTGTACAGGATTTTGATGACATTTTTTGCCGTCGAAATTTTTTGCCGTCAAACTTTTTTGATGACGAAAATGTTTCTGTCGAATACATTCGCCAAAATTTGAAATCTGTAAAGAATTTTAATGAAATTTTTTGCCGTCAAAATTTTTTGATGACGAAAATATTTCCGTCGAAAACTTTCGCCGAAATTTGAAATCTGTAAAGAATTTTGTTGAAATTTTTTGCCGTCAAAATTTTTTGATAACGAAAATTTTTCCGTCGAAAACTTTCGCCAAAATTTGAAATCTGTAAAGAATTATGATGAAATTTTTTGATGAAGAAAATATTTCCGTCGAAAACTTTCGTCGAAATTTGAAATTTGTAAAGAATTTTAATGAAATTTTTTGCCGTCGAAATTTTTTGATGGAAATGTGTTTCGTCGAAATTTTCAATGGAAATTGTTTTGAGGAAAATGTTTCATTTGAAACTTTCGACGAAATTTAGATTCTCTAAGGAATTTAGACAAAATATTTTTTCTGTCAAAATTTCTTATCGAAATACTTTTGTCAAAAAAATTTACGAATTTTTTTTACAAAAATGTG